TAATCTATTTGTTAATAATAATCTATTTATTAATAATAATCTATTTGTTAATATTAATCTATTTATTTCAGCGCTAACATTCTTTTTATGCCAAAAATCAAGTACACGTGCTCCCAACAGAGCAGCTATTCCAACAAAGTTTGGAAAAGGGTCTTGTTGCACGTTACAATTTGCTTTTTTTTCTTCTTTATAATCAGCGTTAAATTCTGTATAGAATATCTTTCACATAAAGTTGCCTAAAGGCCGATTTAGATGGTATGGTTTTCGCCTACGACTATCGTATAGCACGCTCGCGCCATCCTACAACTCGAGTCGTAGCGTGTAAATCAAGTCTACAACTCGCCTACGACAGACGCGAGCTTTTTGTATACGATAGTTGTAGGCGAAAATCGTACCGTCTAAACCGGTCTTAAAGGATTCCTTTCAAGTGTTTACATTTCAATAGTCAAAATATATTTTGGGCAGAGAATTTGTTACTTACAAGAACAAGCCAAGATGAGCAATAGAAGATGACCTTTGATGAGAGTCATGTTGAGCGTTCCTGGAATGGAAATCTTTGGAAAACCAAAAGAACACTGTAAACTTTATTTGCTTTCAACTTCTATTCAAGATATATATGTCAATCTAATCCCTGTAGATTTTCTTTGTTCAAAACTATGAATTAAAACAAAACTACAGAACTTCTTATCCTAGAGGTTGAAAATGATAAATAAAAAATCATTGGCAATTTAAAATTTTCGCATTTTTAAAATTATGTCTAGTAATACTTATTTTCGCTTATTTTATTGCAAAGTGATAAATCCAATAAGATTTTCTTCTTTTCCTTTTTCCTCTTTTTTCCTTTTTTTAATTTTTAATATTTTTAGATTTTTTAAAGTTTATTGATCACTTATTTAATGCAAGTTGTGAGGACTTACCTAAAGATCAGCTAAGGACCTATTCGGATCTTCGTTGCTGTTGTGTACTTGCCGTTGATGTCAAAGAGATATGAACAGCAAAAAACAAGAGTTCCATAACTATAACTTATTTATTTGTCTTTAGGATTTGTCAACCGAAAACTGGTAGAAATACATGCTGATAAAATTGACATAATCGAAAAAAAGAACCGCATGGTGCTTCAACGGGTACAAGAAAGACCCTAGGACATCAAATACTTCTCAAAGTTGTCACTAGCAGAACTTTATGACCCAAAAATTTGATTTCTATAATGGGTCATTCTTGCGTAAAATGTGGTAAAAAATGTTTTTTTTTTTTTTTGTTTTGTTTTGTTATATAAAATTCTTGTATAATACACGAATCACTTTTACGACTGAATGTTTGGCTTTTTAATTGAAAATAAAGTTAAGAAAAGAAAAGCATTTTTTTWAAAAACGCCAAGAGTAAAAAATGTTTTGGTAAGATAATTTATTCCTGATGTYGTGGTCTCTCTTACCCTCATGGGAAAAGCTGATAAATACAAAATACAAATATTCCGTACATATCACTTATGCGATGTTTTTGGTATTTCAATTTGGAGACCTATTTTACCATAATTGAAGATAATAGTAAAAAAAATTGTTTGTTTACCCTTTTTTTTTTTTTTTAGCCTTACAATGTGATCTCTGAATCTGTGGTTTTTTTAATAGTTTTGTTTGTGTTTATACTTTTCTTATCACAAACAAAAAGCTGCAAAATGTCATCTAATGACTTTTAACTAATTTTAAAGCTCTGAAAATATAAATCATATTTTTTTCCTGAATATCTGAGTAAGTTAAAAAAAATAAAAAAATAAAAAAATTCAAACAAAAAAAGAAAATAATAATAATAATTTTTTTCTCTTGCAGTAGAACTACTTCAATATCATGGAATTTACGATGAGAGTTGGCAGGTTACAGATTGTTTTAATATTTAATTGATAACTTGGAATATCATTCTGTGACATGGTCGGATACCTGTTAACACTCTTTGCTATTCATTTATCACTTTGTTTATTGTGACGGGTCATTATTTTAACCATTCCGGCCGACACGTTATTAGTTAGGTAAGGTTTCTATATGAAGAACTGGCAAATAAACCTTATTTATTTTTTTCCGGTCCGGCATCCTAAAAATCGTGCGTTTTGATTGGCTGTTTGTGCGGGCGGTATTTTGTCAGTATCTGCCCGCGCTCGCGGTCCGGTATCCTTTGCCGCTAAACAACAAAACAAAAAGATTTCCAAAAGTAGTAAAAGAAATGCGGGAAAAAATAAATAAGTTATTTACCGTCCTATAGTCGGTCCGGATAGGGAAAACTGTGCTCTCTGTCTTGAAAACGGCCTCGGTCCGTATATTCAAGACCTCGGGCACAGTTTTTCCCTATCTGGACCGACTATAGGACGGTAAATAACGTATATATCTTTAACATATTTASTATTTCAGTTCACTTGTTCAAAAGCTGCCATACAAGAGGGAAAATTTACAAATTACAAAACGCTCTAGTCTGTAAGGGTCAACAAGGAAAACTTGGCAAGAAATCGCGGGCGCTCAGCGGTCAAGCTGTCTAGCGGTCGCTACACAAACTTCACAAAAACTAAAATCTCGTCAAAGAAAACTTGTTTATTTGCGCACTTGACAAACAAACAAACATATCATGGTAAAAAATAGTCTTCTTCGCAGTTTCCTGCGCTATCTTAACGGTAGTCGTACCTTTGCATCGAAGCAAGACGAACGGTGAGCTTGTAATGATACAGACCTTTTTTAAGACTTTGGATAAGTATCCACATGTCTCTATCATTGCAAGCTCACCGTTCGTCTTGCTTCGATTCAAAAGTACGGCTACCTTTCAAGATGGCGCTGGGAAGTGTGAGAGGGGCTATTGTCATTATCATTTCAAAGAAAACATGTTTTCATAACTTGAGCAAGTAAAACTTGACAAGTACATATGTCATAGAAAACGGGCTAGCTAAGTAACCTGCTTCATGGATGACAACACATAACAAAAGCATGGACATCCCAGGGCGCTGGGAGATCCACCATTCAAATAACAATAGATTGCGTTCCATCTCCCGCCGCTATGAGACCTGTTCTTTCAACGTTAATCGTGCGTGGAGTTCAAGAGCCCTTAAAGTTCACGTGTTATTTATCTTACAACCCTTTTTTTTTTTTAACCAAAAATGGCGACATCTAAAGTTCTTCTCCTAGCGTTTTATATTCTCTTGGCTCACGCAAGTAAGTACAGATAAATCTAAAATTCCAGRCATTGGAGTTCGTCATAATAGCAAAAAACGAAAGACAATAACAATAACAATATAATGATATATAGTTTATTATTATTATTAAATACACTGGATATAAACCATGCTGACGTACAAGCCTATAGATTAAGGCTTTCTTTTGCTACGCGATTGCAATTTATAAATTCTAAGCTCAAAAAATGGGGATTTTATTATTTTCACCCAGTGGAGTTAAATATATGTCTCGACCATTAAAATTTATAATTATTTCAGAATGAGACATCTTTTGATATATAAAAAATAAGCTTTATCCTTAAGCAGTCGGTTTTATTCCTTAGACGGATCGAGATTCTAAAAATTGAAATTTAGAAAGTTTATAAAGTCGCATCGGATTTGTGGGGCTATGTACAGCGCTTCTGTTTTTCACTCCAGGCCAAGTCAAAAACAATACAAATACGTTATTTTCCTTGTATTTTACTAGGGTTGACAAACGCAGACGAAAAAACTCCAGTGGAACTTTTAAAAGATCTCAGGAATCTCCAAATCAATGCAATGATTACAGAGGAAAAAGAAAAACTGCGTTTAAATGCATCGGATAGTGTTGCTACAGCAGCTTTCTATGAAACACGTAAAAGAGTTTTGGAAGGTAGGGTTGTTGTAGATAAGGTTGTTTGTCTCAATTGGTTTAGTCCTCCGATAAAGTAAAGAGCGACACGAGAAGTGGGAGTGCGATAAAGAGGTTGATATTGTTTTTATTCACGAGTTCCCATATCGATCATACAGTCAATTCAAAAAATGTTGTCGTCGACCAACTCAAGCCTACGCTACTGGACCGAAAGGAACTCTGGGTAGTAATCATTGAAGCCGAGTTGACTCCATAATTTTATCTGACTAGTTATGCCTGGTTTACAGCACAAACTTTCGTAGGCGAGCGGGAAGTGTTGAAGGACACGTTTTTTCAATGCCTTCATATTTTCGAAATTGTGAACTGAATCATAACTGCTTTGTTTTTCTTTCTCTAAACCCAAAGACATACATTTGATGGATTGTTTCTCGCCATTATTATCTTATTACTAGCGGGAACAATCAATTCAGAACGAATATTTAACCGCTTCAGTGATTTTTACCCATATTCCTTTCGGTCCAGTCGCGTAGGCTTGAGCCGATCAACGACAAAATTTTTTGAATTGACTGTATGTAGAACAAGCGAGTCCACGAGAGAGAGAGCAATATCAGCATATGGAAATTAAAACAAGTGAATAAGAACGATATCAGGCTCTTAACATGCAATAATTTGTTTGTCATTGTTTGTCATATTTCACACCAGTAAAGAGTTTGAAAATCCCGTGTCTATATGCTTTTAAAGCGCAGATAACCAGATACTGCATGACAAAGTCTTGTTATTCTTGGTTGCTTAATTTACATAGCTCGGAAACGTTTTCGGAAAGGAATTGGAGAAAATGGAGAAAATAGGCAATGAAGTAAACGCACCAACGCTTAACAGCAATCTTACATTAATTCTGATTTCAGTAAAAACATGCTATTCGAAAATTTTATCTTTCCTTTGAAACCTTTAAAAAAATTTTTGGTATCGCGCGGATAAAACCCAGCGGTTTTTGAGCACGCACATCGTGGGCTCAAATCAAACGTTCAAAAGCATTCAGTTGTCTTTATATTCCTCTCTTTATGTTTTTTTGTTAYTCTTTAGCCGACAGTGAAATCTTTGAAATCAACGCTACCCCTTATTCACCATTTAAGGCAGAAAAGAGTGCTAAGAACCTTGGTTATCTTGGCAGAGGTTACGATGTATTGTTTGGTAACCCTTTGGATGAAGCTGGCCGAGTAGATCCTGGTATGGCTTAATTTTTTTAAATTTATTGTAAATACTTATATTTCATTTTATTTTAATATATTTTAATTTATCATTTATTTACACCTGATTGCAAGAAGGTTGTCACAAAACAACAAAAACAACAAAACAACAAAACAACAAAACAACAAAAACAACATAAACAACATAAACAACAAAAACAACATAAACAAGAAAATAACAAATATTAAATACATTATTTTTTAAGCAAAACCGGTGCAAATATTTAATTGTTATGAAGGCATTTAGGACTTTTTTGGTATTACTATGAATTAAAACTATTTTTATACGACAACGGTGTTGCACTTTGGTGTATATCATTAATTTACTTAATTGTATTATTTTTTCTTTTCATTATTATTATCATCATCATCATTATTATTATTATTATTATTATTATTTTTATCCAAACATTTAAATGATTTTAACTATAGTACATGCTTTTTATAAGGTTTCCGCTTACAAGCAGTAGAACTGGGATACTTTCAAAACAGATTTTCTGATGACGGTGAATACCGTATTCCTGATAACGCTGATATCATCATGGAACCTAGTGCCCTGTTCTCCTCTACCTTCAATGAAATGAGAACCGAAAATGACTATAAGCAGCAACTTAGTGAAGATGTTAAAACAACGGCTGGCTTTGGGTTTGGTGGTAAGAACAGTAAATAAAACTTTCATGGGTTACCTTTGTATAAAATGTTCGGTGGGGGACGGGGACGAGCCCAACCTCTACTCATAATGTTAAAGATGGCGACTAGTTTACACTCAGCCGTTCAAATTATCTAATGTTATAGCCTGCCTTAATTATGGGTTCACATTTAGATAAAGAAATTTATCTCTAAAAGTTTGCTTGCAAATTCTAAATAATATTTTGAGAAATAAACCCTCAATGGTCTAATGGTCCTCGATGCCTTGGTTTGGTTACACCTACTTGCAAGAAGGTTGTCATACAAGAATAGAGCATTAGTAATTTAGTGAGAAAGGAATACAATAAAAGACAAAAGAAAAAGTTCAGCTTCAGTGATCTTATTTTGTTTTTTAATATAATTCCTATCCCACTAAATCACTAATGTTCTATTTTCGTATGACAACGTTCTTGCAAGTAGGTGTATCCTTATTTGTGCATTTAATTTTTCTTATAATTTTTGTTTGTTATTTCTATCTTCATATTAGCGGGTTTCGTTAGTGTATCAGGTGAATTTTCTCAGAGCAAAAGTTACCAGAGTACCAAAGAAAGCATCAAAAAAGGCGGGAAAGTCAACATTGATATCATTGGTCGAGCAATAGCTTACAAGGCTTGGTTACATACTCTTGGAGACATGAATGCATCTGTTGCTTTACAAAATACTATCAAAGATCTTCCTGCTCAGTGCCCTAATCCTGATAACGATTTATCATCTTATTATCGATTAATTCAAAAATTCGGAACCCATTTTACGAGAGTCACGACCATGGGAGCCAAGGCTGTCCAACGACTGACAATGACCACTGAAGGTATGCTAAATTGTCTTATTAAATCGTTAAGTTTTTGGTTTTGGCCCAAACACTTTATGCGTTTTGGCAGTTAGATCTTTTAAAAAACGACATTAACGTTGGTTAAGATTATCTATATGAGTCGAAAAATACGCGAGTGCAGTTTAAAATAAAAATTATTTTTTTCAAATTGCAAGAACTGGATACTGCCATCAGCAATTTTTTGAACCAAAAGTTTTTTCTTTTTTTTATTTCTTTTTTTCTTTTCTTTTCTTTTTTTTTTTTTTTTTTTTCTTTTTTTCTTTTCTTTTCTTTTTTTTTTGGATTTTGTTTTTGTTTTTGTTTTTTTATTTGTTTGTCATATTGATATTAAAAAATTCTATTGAATGATAATTATTTCAATCCCCTTCTTGCTTAAAGAGAGTATGGAACTAAAGCACCAGGGAATTAGCACCAATCAAGTCGTGAGTGCAAGCGTTGGTTTCTCGGCGAAGGGTGTCAGTGCAAACGCCAACTTTGGACACGAAAAAAGCTCGAGCTCTGATACTAAAGTTAGTGATACCCTTAAGAAGATGAACATACAAAGAAGAGAGTTCTGTATTGGTGGGGAGCCTCCGTCTTTGCCGTACTCGCAAAGATATTATTATTCTATTAAAATAGGTATGTGGCTTGATACTCAAGTTTCGACATCGCCAACTATTCCGGCCATGCGCCGCTCGCCAAGTCAGCAGATATCTTGTATAAAATATAAACCACAGGAAGCCCAAGCTCTCTCAGGCCTGGACTTAGAGAAACATAACTTTTTGCTACGGTATTCCTGTGCTTTAATAGGTATCCTATTCCAAACGATGGCAAACGAAAGCTGAGGATTCAAGCTTTATTTTGGTACCAAACATGCCGTGTTTTGCGAATAATTTCCAAGGTTTTTACTTCACAAAGTGCCTATTCTTGAAGAAAGGATCTCACAAACTCGTCTCAAATCGGAGCTTTTTGAAAGTAAAAAACGAAAAGTATAAATTCATTCAATCGACCACAGATTCGACATCAGTAGTTTAGAATGTGTGTATTTTATGGATCGACTCCGGCAAATGAGGTAACTAGTTTTGATTTTGAGAAATCCTGTTCATAATATTTGCCCTTTTGTGTTTTTCTTGCAATTTAACAAAGCACATATGGCAAGAAGGCTGTTAAAATCTAACTATCGAGACGAAAAGGTTTTTCCAAACAAATAAAAGTATGTTTGGTAAAAATCAAATGCTTTAATGTTATACAATGTTTTTCTACCCCGGCAAGTKGAAAACTGTTTACACAGAAATTTATAAATCGAAAAGTATATTGACTCTCTATACATTTCTTTGTAAAATCTGACTTAACTCGCTTAACACTTTCAAGTGACACCGCTGCATTTGCACGCGGGCGCATGACCGGAATAGTTGGCGATGAAGCACATGGTTAAGGTGCTGACACACTGTGCAACATTACATGCAACATTGCACGCAACAGGACTGTTGCAGCGTGTGTCTACCCCAAACTAGCTTGTTTCACGCAACGTTGCTTGCAACAAATCTGAAGTTGAGTCGCGCTCTACTCTTGCAACATTGCGCGCAACAAATTTCATCATGTGAACATGGCTGCAACATTGCCTGCAACATTTTGAAATTTCCAGTCAATCAGCTTGCACCAAATTTATAACTGCTGACCAAATATCTTAACATAGCAGGCTGACACAAGCGATGTTGCTTGATTTTGTTGCAATGTGTGTCATCCCGATTCTAATTTGTTGCTTGCATTGTTGCGTGCAATGTTGCACCGTGTGTCAGCACCTTTAGCTTCCAGGGATCGCGGAGCCCGGGTGGGGGGAATGGGGGGAGGAAGGGGGGATGCTTCAAAATTTTAAAACTCGAAATGCAAAGGGTTTCCATTTCACGACAATTTTTTGTCGTTATTTTATAGATGGAGAAGAAAACGACGACCCCGGTATTGGTAGTACCGAGTCTCTTCGTCAATGGGGAAGAAGTGCCTTTGAAAGACCTGTCCCTATTCAATACCAGCTGCTGCCAATCATGGAATTGTTTGAAAAGTCATACCTACCTAAAGTCAACCAAGCCAAAAAAGTTATTGACGACAAAAAGAATTGTATGAAGATTGCCCTTATGAATTATTGTTCCAAGGTTGCATCCAATTCGGGAGACTGTGTTTCTTATGATGATGGTAGTAGTGAACCAAATGCAATACGCTATGGGGACCTCATTGCAATACAGAAAGGAGTGAGTAATGGCAAGGCTGAGTATCTTGATGTTCCAGAAAATAACCCAGCGTTTGCTTTAGGAGATAAACCAGACTACTTGAAGGTAATATATTTTACTAAAAGTAATGCAAAATCTAAAAGTAATGCAAATGTTTCCCAAATAAGATTGTCGTTCGTGTGGCCATCAACTCTTTATCCATATTAAGTAAGCTTACCTTATTTCTAACTGATCGAATTCCTTTGATAAAGGGTGTAATCCTTCAAAATCTCAGTAAAAGTGAAGCAAACTTTTCCCAAATAAGATTGTCGTTCGTGTGGCTATCAACAGTCTATATCCATATTTTGTAAGCTTACCTTATTTCTAACTGATCGAATTCCTTTGATAAAGGGTGTAATCCTTCAAAATCTAAAAGTAATGCAAACTTTTCCCAAATAAGATTGTCGTTCGTGTGGCTATCAACTCTATATCCATATTTGGTAAGCTTACCTTATTTGGAAGTGAACATAGAAAAAACACTTGAAATCAGTGTCCACCATCTTGAATTTAGCTTAGAGACCTGGCCTTTGACAAAGGAAGCCCAACACGTTTAAAACCACAGGGAACCCAAGCGAACGACAATCGTCACTCTAAAACACGATTTGTTTTTTTGACATTTTAAAGGTTATGCCTGTTGATCCAAATGCTTACTGGAAATACGGTAATGCTCTTCATTACGGAGAACCATTTAACTTACTCAGTGAATATGGTGGACAGCAGAAAATTGTTAGTTGCGGCTATGGCAACAACAAACACTATGCTATTTTTAACTATGGCAAGAATGATGACGTCAAAATCACGTGCGAAGAACAAGGTTTCCCTGGTGAGAAAAATTGATGAAAATATTTTAGAAAAAAAGTTGTCGAAGATAATAGTTTTAATCCGTTTTTAAAATAGGTGTACGTTTTAGGTACTCAGCACTGAAGCAAAGTTCAGAAGCTTTTGCAAGATGAACAGCAGTGTATTGTTAGATAGAACATACCTTTTTAGACCTTTTAGTTTAGACATCTTGAATTATGAGATGCCGAGGTGGCAAACGTAGAAAATTTATAAAGCATAGATTGAATGACAGGGTTATGTTTTCAAATAATTTGAAGTCTTTGTGTTTCGCATATTGTTCCAGCTACCAGCAAATTCATTGAAATGTGTAAAAATATTTAAAGAGACATCCTGACAGTTGTGCAGTCTATAATCATTCCAATAGCTGCTCACGTTTTAAGTAAAACAATAACATCCCCATCGTATCGGCAAAATGGTCTATTCCCCTTACAATTTTCATAGCAGCGTTGGTTTCAACCTATAAGCCTGAAGCAAGATGACGTTTTACCTCCGACTCTATACCATCATAGTTTTTAAAATTCTTTCATATGAAAAATTTTGATTCCTTAGGTAATACAGGAACAATAGTCATAATTAAAGAACAAAAGCAATGTGAAAAGGATTATGGTCTAGAGACGGGGGTGAAACGTCRTCTCGCTTCAGGCTTATTGACGTTCATTTCTGAGATACCTTCTTTTTAGTCAACAGTCCGCTGACTTCTGTACTTGACTCTTGCAAAAGCAAACCTCCTGGACGTTGAAATATAATACTTTGAGTATTGATTCTAAATAATTTAAAATTTTAGATAGTGAAATTGACTTAAACACACAACATGGCGGGGTTCATAACAAAGCACACTTTATTATAATGCAACGTCCATTACCTCATCATATCATCATATCATCAAAAAAGAACCTTCGCTTTGGCTGCACCGGCACTCTGGAACAATCTCCCTGATGCAATTAAGTATTCAAGTTCAGTTTCAGAGTTTAAATCTGCACTAAAACACTACCTATTCACCAGGAGGAACTGACTGTTTTTTCAATTTTTTTCCACGAACTTGATATCCGTCTGGACCTTTTGTAAAAAGCATCGAGACGTTGTATGACACGTTTGTTAAGAACTTTATATTAT